TCATAACCAGTATAAAGAACTAGCCACTTATAAGGAGCACAAAATAACCACTGTACTGCAAACTTGTAACAGTTATTCATGAAATTGGAATATTATCCAACTATGTATTTATTTTATGGTCATTGTCCCGTACTTCTCCTTCTAAAACAATTCAATAGAAGAATAATTACTACTATTGGCCTAATTAATAACATGTTTGATAATCATCTTAATCATTTCTTTTAGATGCCATACCAGATAAGGAAAACTAGCCCATATTGGAAATGAGAAATAACCATACTGCCACTGTGGAAAGTATTAATGAAATTGAATTATCCAAAATATGTATTTATATGGTCATTGTTCGTACTTCTTCCTAAAAACAAGTTCATAGAAGATAAGACTACTCTTATTGGCCTAATAATAAAAACATGTTTGATAATCATCTTAATCATTCTTTAGATTGTCATAAAACCAGTATATAGAAACTAGCCACTTATGACTGAGAAATAACCACCCTTACTGCACCGTTAATTTTGAAATTGTATTTTAAAGGACCACTCTGAAACAATTAACCTTCACGTTAAACATACAAAACCACCATTATTCTATCTCATTAAATGAAAATGGGTATAAATGTTAAATAATCAACCGGGAAAGAAGAGAAGTCCAAGTTGAAGTAAGATGGACAAATATAATCCAAATCATATTAAATAAACTTCAACAACCTCCTGGGCAACACAAAAATTTATTCTTTTGCACACAAAAAACTTGTAATCACTCACCTATTTAATAGAACTTCAGTGGTTGTTGACAAATATGGACCTCAATAAATGGTGTAGACCACTTCATTCACTCATTTCATCTTGTATCAATTTTAGGGTTTACGGTTTCCTAATAAGTTAATGCTGGAAAAACTTTCTCCCCCACCTCTCATTGCAGTCGAAACTTCAAAAAGTGTCTTGAGCCTTAAAATTTTGCAGAGGCATTAAATGGAGTTGTCATTCGATGACTTCTATCACAAGAAATGTTAATTATGCTTAACGGGGCATATTCGTAATTTCGGTTGAATGTTATTAAAAGTTGTGCTCATGTGGGGAGAGCAAACACTTTTGTGCAAGGGAACCAACATTATTCACGTTTTGGAGGTATGTCCACTGTTAGGGTTACGTTACGTCAGGCCCCAAACGTTATCTTTTCAATAAGCTAAAACAGGGATTAACTTGTTTTTTTCCTCTCCTCTTGTGTTTATCTTTTATAAAAGAAAAACAAGAGTTTGGCGATTTCTATGTTTTGTGTTTAGGTATTCTCAATCTTTTGGTTACATTACCTACACAAAACCAATTCGTTTTTATGTATACCCAATGTTTAGGTTACATGGTATAATTTTTGTTAGTTGACTTCGTCTTCATTTGATGTTTTTTTCTCAACATAAACAGAGAGTCATGGAAGCTTGGGAAGAACTTGATATTGATGAAAGTGATCTTGATAGTTTTATTCGCCGTTGCAATTCCAATAACATGCCAATGCAGGGCCATGCTGGGTGTCATTGAGGCAGCCATCTATTAACCGCCACCCAAGTGAATGAAAACATTTCGACACAAGTATTTTGAGGGCATGCAAAAGCCAGTTTTGAACGTGACTTCACATCCAATGCTTGGGTATGGGCTGAAAAATTCATTGACATCCATGGTAAGTACAATAATTGGGAATTCATCTTCATACGCAACATTCATTTTTTATTTCAAGAACATTATGGAAATAATAATTTGATTTGCAGGATTATTGCTTAAACATGAGGTTGAGCATATCTCAACCCTTGATTCCTTGAAAGGAAACTGGTTAAGGTGTTCTTGTTGCGATGTTTGGTAAAGCCACTTGAACATAACGGGGACTGGGGGGGGGGTGGACATGAAAATAACCAATTCGGGTTTGTTGATGTAGTAGTGCAAATGGCTTTAGTGGATAAGGTTTAGTTATTTTGAAAACCATATGGAAACTGTGTTGTTTAGGAAAAAAATGTACTCTTTGACAGGATCCAACAGGGACTGTTAAACGCAAGTTGTTTCACCACAAGCCATGATCATCCTGAAACAATAGGTCCACACTTAAAAAGTTGGAAGTGTGATAAGCCTACAAGATGTAAAGTATATTTTGTTGTGATCAATAATTACTTATTGGGAACTTTGTATTCCCACAACAATTTATGCAGTTTAACAATTAATGTAGACTAGGTTGGCAATATTTTCACCAATACGCGGAACATACTATCTTACATAACTCTTAGGATATTGTTAAGGTAAAGTTTACATACTTTTGTATTTGTGGTTGGTCTATATATTTTCTAAAAACCTGTTTTCTTTTGGGACAGTTTGAATGACAGTCACCGTATGTTGTAGGTTTTTCCAAGTGATATGGCTGGCCCAACTGATGGACCTAGTACGTCTAACAGTACCAATTGTTATGAACAACCCGCCAACACGTTCCGTTGATGATATCCTTAGCAAATTGATTCCACCTGTTCACAATGACAAACCTGAAGGCAGTGGATCTAACAACAACAATTAATAGTGGAACAAATTGAGGACATTCATAATTTCCTTATTTGTATTCTCGTTTTATTGTTGTTGACTATTTCGTATTTTGTGTGTGTTGACACGGATGTGTTATTTAGTACAATTTCTGAAGGACTAATGTTAGTTCAATCAATGTGTTGCTGGTTTAAGTGTTGATGTAATGTATGCAATGTTCGAAGATTGATATCATGTTCCTTTATTATGCATCCTAACAATGTAGAAATGATGGAAGTGTAATGTGATATAATTATGTTCAATTGTTTTAAGACATGTCCTTTAATTAAATAAGTTTCAAGTCTCGGTACACACCTTACAGTTTCAAAACAATTATTGAAAATCCGTGTTGTTCCTGAGAAACTGACGTGTTATACAGTTCCACTATTCCCTTATGTTCCCTTGTTGCAGTAAGTGGTTGCTCACGAAGTCCTATGTGGTGATTTGTTAATTAGTTTCTGTACAAGAATAAAAGTTGTTTAATTCATTATGAATAATCACAGTTCTTAGGTGCAGTAAGCATTTATCTACTAAGTTCTCTGTGCTTATTTATGAAGGAGGTTATTGTAGAAAATAGAAGTGGTTTAATTGGATATGAATCATTCCATTTGTTAGGTGCAGTAAGTGGTTATATAGTAAGTTGTATGTGGTTATTTATGAAAGAGGTTATTAACAAGAATATAATTCCTTTAATTGAATATCAATCATTAATTTCTTATGTGCAGTAAGTGGATATGTACTATCTTATATGTGCTTATTTGTGAAGACGTTTTGAACAAGAATAAAAGTGGTCTATTTCAATATGAATAATCCCTTTTTTTAGGTATAGTAGGTGGTTATTTAATAAGTTGTATGTGGTTATTTTTCAAAGATGTTCTGAACACGAATACAATTGATTTAATAGGATATCAATCATTCATTTCTTAGGTGCAGTAACTGGTTATATGCTAAGTTTTATGTGGTTATTTATGAAAGAGCTTTTCAACAAGAATATAATTGGTTTAAAAAAATATCAATCATTCATTTTTTAGGTGCAGTAAGTGGTTATGTACTATGTTATATGTGGATATTTGTGAAAGAGGTTCTGAACAAGAAAAGAAGTGGTTTAATTGGATATGAATCATTAATTCTGAGTTGCAGTAGAAGTAATGGTTAGCTACTAAGTTGTGTGTGGTAGTTATGAAAAGAGGTTCGAACCAGAATGAATTGGTTTGAATTGGAAGATCAATCATTGATTTCTTAGGGCCAGGAAGTAGTGCTTATGTACTATTTATATGTGGATATTTCTAAGAGAGGTTTCGGAAGAGGAATACAAGTACTTTAATTGGATATACAATCATTCATGTTCTTAGGTGCAGCAGAGTAGTAAATGGTTAATATGCTAAGTTGTATGTGGTTATTTTAAAGGATGTTCTGCACGAATACAATTGGACTTAATTGGATGTACAATCATTCCATTTATTAGGTGTGCAGTAAGTAGCAAGTAAGAGTAGTAAAGTGGTATATGCTGAGTTGTATGTGGTTATTTTATGAAAAGACCTTCTGAATACGAATATAATTGGTGTAATTATTGAATATACATCATTCATTTCTTAGGTTTTGCAGTAAGGGGTTATGTACTATTGTTATAGGTGGATATTTGTGTGAAAGAGGTTCTGAACAAGGATACAAGTGGTTTAATTGGATATCAATCATTCATTTCTTAGTTGCAGTAAGTGGTTATCTACTAAGTTGTATGTGGTTATTTATGAAAGAAGTTACGAACCAGAATATAATTGGTTTAATTGAATATCAATAATTGATTTCTTAGGTCCAGTAAGTGCTTATGTACTATGTTGTATATGGTTATTTTTTAAAGAGTTTCTCAACACCAATAAAAGTGGTGTATTGTATAAGATTCAATTTCATCACCATTTCTTACGACAAAATGTCATGATATGGGTGGTTACCCAAACTGGGATGAAGAAAACAAAACGTAAATGTAATCACAAAATACCAAGGTGGAGACCAAATAATAAAAAGGCAAGCAACACATTAATAGTTACAACATATTCTTCATACATAAAAACTAAATATGTAAAAACCAGTAACCTTAATTGAATGCCTAATCAATTAAAATTTTGGGGCTTCTATTCAAAGTGTACCATTAATGGTTCCCGACTTCAATGTATGAAGTTGCTAATTGGTTGTTCCCACTTCATGCCTAATCAATGCCTCTAACAAAGGATCCCTCCCACCCATTTCTGCAATACCCTTGTACGATGAAAAACATTATTTCAAGTAGACCCAACTGACAAAACATTTGGTTCTCGCCGAACTTGTTTAATTGTCCTGCATAAAAACAATACTCTTGTTAACGTTTATTACTAAAAAAAACGTTTGATCATAATATCATTATTTAAGCCTATACATAAAATACATTATAACCATTGGTAATCGGGGCATTTTTTCCCCATCAAATTTAGGTGTATGATCCCATAACTCAATATACTTGATGACCAATATACCACAATCATACCTACAAATTAAACAAATATTATAAAGTGATCATATGACACAACTTAATAAATTGTCAACACCAGCAAGTTCACTAACGTATTTGGTTGCACAGGCAAATCTTCTTCGATCACTTCAATTTCCTGCTCCTTACAGTTTGAAGTCTATGTCAATCATATTGAATAATTGTTGCAAAGTGGCAACCTTACAAATTGATATTGAACACATTCAATACTCTTGTAAATCTTCTATGGTAACGTCAGTTGCACTTAAAAACAATAACAATACAACAAAATATGCTTACCAATAGCCGTGTCATTACTTTTGCTACGCCGCCTTTTGTGGACCAAGAGAATCCAAAAATAACATTATCTTGATTGACAGTTTACAGATAGCAACCACCATGGTCATCCCAACAGGTGGGCACAATAACTAAACAACCCACAAACCACAAACATTCATACATTCAACAAACAACCATTGTATGATAAACCTATAACAAACCACAATATACTTTACAAAAATGAAGATTGTTAAAAAACACACTGTAATTAGCTGCAAACCAGTATGTGTTATTAAGCATCATGGTTATGTTTGCGGTTTGTATTTATCCGGATGCCCGATTCAAACTACTTTTTATCAAAAACTATATTACAGGCTCACCCCAGGTGTATATAGTAGTTCATTTCAATGTTATCTTTAAATTTACTAAAAGGGACACTGTTTTATACAACATACTATTATTCCTAGGGAAAATAAAATATGTCCCAAATTGTAAAAATATATACCAAACCTACCATAATTGTCAAACATTTTTTTTTGTTTTAAATTTTTATCCCCATACTTTTCCTATTTATCGTCAAAACGTGTTTAGTCACCTTCATCCTCCGAAAAAAAGTTTTTAACAATTGCCACCGACATCATTTTCGAGATTACAAGTTGACCCAACAATTTTGACAAAACCTAAAAAAAACCACACATCTCAACGTAAAAAGGGACCCTAAATTCTCTTGATCCTAAAAGCCTTATGTACGACATCCCACCTACTAATTTAATTCTACAAAGAATGGGGGCTAGAAATAACGATATTGTCCACCAAATAGGGACTTATAAATTAAAAGGTTGTCGACTTTTATTCTATTCCTTAGGAAAAGGATGGACAGGGAGGAAGATTAATTCCAATATAGGTTGGGTTTGTACCGGTGCCTTAACTCTAAACTTTCCCCTTGCAAAGTATAAAAACCAAACCATATTCTTAGTATATAAATTGCACACATTCTACCTAATAAATATTTAAATTCACAACACTTACATGGCCATACTTCCAGTCCCCCAAAAAATTAACTTCTCTGTCCATATCACTATATCCTGCACATTTTACCAAACACAATCAACATCATTGTATAATGAGAGTGACAAGTTCAATTTAATATTTTAGTAAAATAATATGTATTTAACTCATTCATATCATCAGATTTTTCACTCAATTTCAAGAAGTATTGTTTTTAGAAAAATAGCAAGATTTTATACCAGTTTTATAACAACCAACAACAAATATTTTATCTTGCTTTTTAACCATTACATCAAAGATTTTTCTGCATAATTTACAGCAATATAGCAAAGCTTTTATATATGTATCATAACAACAAATAGCAAAGCTTTTTGGTTCCATACAACAAGGCTTTTGGGAGCAAACAACAAAGCTTTTGGTAGGAAACAAGAAGCTAAAAACAAAAACATACAACAACAATTTCTGCAGCATTTTTATGTTAAAACAGTATAGGATTTTACTGCATTTTTAACAGCACAATACAACAAGAATTTTACTGCATTTTTAACAGCATGGGACAAACAAGGTTTTATCACATTTTAATCAGCCCAAAACACCGTAAACAACATTATTTCGATGCAAATAAAGAACTCAAAATATACTACAAAGTACCACCATTTTAGTGTACAATTTGTTTTATAAAAGAACACACTTTGGCTTTTATAAAAACACAAACATCAGATTTATAACAACTAAAAACGCGTACTTGGTATATCATGAATAAATGGAACTTAAAAATAACTTATACTTAGGTAAGAGGTCTCCATCCCTTTGTTCTTTCTATGTCATAATAAAGCTTTTTCATTCCTAAAGTGCTAATCAGGACAGAGGAATTAAAGAAACAACCCAAACCCACCACGGTCAATAAAGTTCTTAGATCAAAAATTATCACTGCCTTTCTCAAGGTCCCCAACAATGAAACAAATGGACCCCATACACTAACGGAGTTACAACCCACATTCTCTGAGTGCAAATATTCCAAGAGGCGTCTTAATAAAGAACCATCACATATCATAAAACTATCAGATATATATTAAACAACCATATGCTTATTGACATGCACTTTTTCAAAGGTTTAATTGATGAAACTTTTTTTTCCTTCTACTAAAGATACCATAAGCTGCAACAATATAAAGATTTGAGTCTGCATATATGTACACAACTTTTTATTAGCAAAAATATTAAGAAAAATTGTGGTTTCTCTGCAACTTACAACAAGGAAGACAAATTCAAGATACACAACACAAAAAGTTATCTTCTACACAAATTAAGGGCTACCGAGTATTAACATTTGATCGTTCAAAACGTTTGACATATGCTGCAAAACCAGAACAAGCCTACTCTACAAATCCCACAACCATCTATCAGAAGGGGGCAGAAGATGAACAACAAAAAGAAGATGAAAAATTATCACTGCCTTTCTCAAGCTCCCCAACAAAGAAACAAATGGACCCCATTTTAGACCTCAATCGACCCCGCTAAAATAACACATACATGCTGTCTACACATATCGACAGATAAATGGGTCCATGACCCCAAGTGCTCAAAACGGTAAAACTACCATAGAAAAAAATTGGAAAAAACCCTACCTCAAAGTCACACACCACACAAGCGACACAAATCAAAACGCCAACAGGAGACATCCACACAATCCTTCAACTGCAACACCCACCCGACACCTCCAAACCACCGATTCAACCACCTCAAAAACACACATGGGAAGCAATGCAAAAACACAAATGGGAAGCAATGAACAAGGAGGGACAACGAGAGAGGAAAGTAAGAGAAAGTAAACCTAGATGGTATTTTTCATTCACCAGGGAAAGAAGAAGGAAACCCAAATTTACCTTTTTCCCATTTTTACCCTCAATCAGTACACCTTTTTTTTTAAAAAAAAAAAAATGACGTGGCGGTTGTTCAATATTGACTGTAAGTGACACGTAAGGCGTGTCTTGTATTAATGCTCGATAAATAAAAACACTTTTTTTGGGTGCTTAAAGAAAAATAGTCCACGTGTTTTATTCATTCGAAGTTAAGATAGTCGCTATTTGGGCAACCCTGCCCGAAATCTTCTCCGGGGGGCAGATTTTCCTGCGTAAAGTCCATTCCTAACACTGGCCGGAATTCATTGGTAGTAGCCCCTGCAACACCAACGGCTTTAAAAGTTTCAATCTCGGAAAACAAAATAGGAGAGGAGGAGAGGACCCCCCCCCAGAAAGCTTAGAAGAGGAGAAAGATCCTGACGCTATAAATACCCTGGCGCTCGTTTCCACCTTCCTCAATCCGCACCTCACAAACGACATCGTTCTCTCCTCCTTCGTAGAAAATGCGCTTCTTGCAGCTCATAAAGACAAAACAAATCCAAATTTTCTTTTAAGTTCGCTTAATCGTTAGTGTTTGTTATAGGTGGTGCTGTTGGGGTGCTGCATTGATTTTGATTTCGATTTCGATTTACAAGAATGTGGAAGGTTGTGCGATTCGCGGCGTCCAGATCACGGCGATTCTCCACGGCGATTCCCGGGCCGTGCAAGGTCCACAAGCGGGGCACTGATATCCTCCATGATCCGTGGTTCAACAAGGTTCGCACTGTTTTTCGATAGACACTGTTTTTCACTTCGCTAACTTTGTTTTTTATTTATTTATTTAATGTTTTTTTTTGTGTTGGTGAATTTGTTTGTTTGTTAGTGTAGTTTATTTGGTTGAAAGGAAACAAGCTTTAACCTGAAAAGAGATGGAAGCGATTGATTATTATTTTTTCATACAATATAATTATTTTAAGAAGACCACTGCATCAACTTGTGTGGAGTTGTTTCAATTTAACGAGTGATTCTGAGTTTGAACCTTGAGTTTATAGGTGCAAAGGAGAATATTTTTATCTAATAGCATTATACGTAACAAGATGAAGTTATTGTTAAGCGGTTCAGGATCATCACTTATAATTTGGTGTTGTTAATTTTTTCCTACAATTTGAAAAGTGTCACGTTAAGAATGGACCAGACCATATGAATCAGAGCATCTCATAAATTTTTCCCCATACATGCTTTTTTTTAGAAAGGTTGAAAGTGAATATTTAATTATTTTATTGTTACTGTTTTAGTTTTAGAGGACGCTAAATTAAGTCAGAGAGGTTGTATTAAACATAATTTGAGTAACATTCCAAATGTGTTTTTCGTATAAATTTGTAGCTCTGTAATTTTTTTTTTATTTATGTAGAAAGTGTGTAATCGGGAGCCTCGTGTGACATGCATGAAATGTAGAATCTAAAGTGGAGAAAATTCGTTATTGATATTTTGGTGGTATCTGTTTTGAGTTATTTCGGGTAGATGCATAATATGGATTCATTAAAAGATGCTTTTCATTGATATAAATATATTATGTTTACCATCTCTTACATTAAAAATCGAAGCTACTCACGGCTGTGCTTGATCACTGTCTGGGATTCTAAAACTTCATTTACTTAATTAATTTTTTATGTGTAGGATACTGGGTTTCCCATAACTGAAAGGGATCGATTGGGACTTCGGGGCCTTCTTCCACCTCGTGTCATTTCATTTGAGCATCAATATGATCGGTTTAGTAAGTTTTAAACCTAACCGTTTCATGCTATGTGCATATGTTCTTCAGTCTCAGGAATTATTGCTTGCTCATCTTTAGACTCCGCTTGTGTGTTTGGCTTCATGTTTGCTTCTTCTTTGATTATATTAATATATTATTATTTTTCAGTGGATTCATATAGATCTTTGGAGAAGAATACACGGGGCCAATCAGATAAATTTGTTGCCTTATCCAAATGGAGGATCTTAAATAGATTGCATGACAGGAATGAGATTCTGTATTACCGAGTGAGTTTGATGATGAAGTTGCCTTGCGGATATGACAATATATTACAAAGGTTATTATTATTATTATTATTATGTGCTTTTTATCTTGCTTACCCTTTTCTATCTCAGGTTCTTATCCGTAACATCAAAGAGTTTGCTCCTATAATATATACTCCTACAGTTGGATTAGTGTGTGAAAATTATTCAGGGTTATTTAGACGCCCGCGGGGTATGTATTTTAGTGTCAAAGATAAAGGAGAGATGATGTCAATGATCTATAACTGGCCTGCTGACGAGGTATTGAACTCGTCTTGGTAAAATTCTGCCTTCCTTTTCTTTTCCTTCATGATAGAAAATGGAAGTGACTTTTATTTTTCATTCTTCCCTTATAATCCATACAGCTTTCTTAAGGTTTTGACATGCAAGGGTTAAAATTATTGAAACTTGGTGAATTCTGTACTTACTGGAATTCTCTAATTATGTCGCCGAGTTTAGTATATTTGTACGCCCTGAGGGATAAACTGGAATTCAACTTCATGGATATTGCTGTATTTTTAGTTTTGTTGAAAAAATTGTGTGTAAAAAATTGACAGATTTGTCAGTGACCCGAAGTAGTTTCATCTTGTGAGGGTCCATTTATTGTTTCATTAGTGTCAAAGATGACTTTTCTTGGACAAGAATTTTAGTGTATTTTCTCGTTAGAGGGAGGTCTACGTAGGTATTAGGTTTATAAAACAGAGGGGAGGCAGTTGAAAAAATAGAATAATCTAGAACGTTTATAAGAACCTGGGTATCTTGGGGTGCCTAACTCTCATCAAGAAAGTATGGGATCTTGAGTGGAGTATTTAAATATTCGATTCTCCCTCCTAAATAGGTAGCTCATGAGGGTGAGTATATTATATTTGTTTCGTCGTCGTTAAGTGACACTATTTCTATGGTTTCATATTATGTGCCTTGCTTGAAATTGATAATTGTTTTAGTTTTTTACGGATTTTTTCTTGTGATTTTGGTATTTAGTTGTGATTGTGGTTACTTCGTGTTTTCTCACTTTACCCTACTTCAATGATAAATGTTCTGGTAACTGGGTACAGTTCAACTATTTACATGCATTGCGAAAATTTAGGAACTTTTCGGTTACGTGGGTCAAAATTTCTCCCTGACTTGATATATCATTGGTTATAAATTATAATCATCTTGTTTCCTTGGTTCAGGTAGATATGATTGTCCTGACAGATGGTAGCCGTATTCTTGGCTTGGGTGACCTTGGCGTTCAGGGCATAGGAATACCTATTGGAAAACTTGACATGTATGTTGCTGCTGCTGGTATCAACCCACGAAAAGTATGTTTTCCCCTTCCTTTCTCTTTGTATCTTGAATTTCCTCATAACTTGGACTCATCATGTGTTACTGGTGTCCCAGGACTGAGATTTTTTTCTTTAGTGAAATGGATACTTGAATTTTTGTACGGTGGGTTGGGTTGTTAACTGTTTTATGATGCTGAATAAATCTAATTTTGTTTATGTTTATATTTGTACGTTTATCTTGTACAATTACTCGTAATCAACAAATGAACTGGAAATGAGTTCATAAATCTTGACTTTGGGTTTGTTTAGATGAGTTTCTCCGCAAGTACTTTTAGGAGAAAAAAAATGAAACGGACTTCTCTATAATCTAAAATTAATTTATCTACAATTTTAAAAGAATTAGTTTAGAAAAGTTCTATAAAAAAACTTCTACAAATTAGCTTATGGGGAAGCTAATTTAAATTTTTCTCCTTATTTTTCTCTCTTAAGAGTGTTTATGGAGAAGTTTGTCTAAGAGATCTTTTGTTATAAACTTGTAATTTTTATTTTCTTTACTTTTTAACTGCTACTTGGTAAAGTTAGTAACTCTGATTTAACTTGTACAGTATGCTGTTTTTTCCACTTGTTTCAGATACTTCCAGTTATGTTAGATGTTGGTACAAACAATGAAAAGCTACTCAAAGATCCCCTTTGTGAGTATAACTCAATTCTGCTCCTCATTTCTATGGTTGTTGTTTGTCTCACTTTTTCATTTACATGGGTATGTTTGCTTTGTAAAGTGAGGAAGATGTCATGTTTTCCAGTATCCTAGATTTTGTGGTTGAGTAATATAATCTTGTAACTAATGAATGGCTTTTCTGCTTTATTTAGCTAAGTTTATCTAATTATATTATGCTCCAATGATGAGTTGGAGTGGGATTTTTCAATTACTTTGACATTCTTGATCTCTTGAGCATACAAAAAGATAATATGGTAATTCCACGTATTTGACATCATGAAAGTTACTGTATTCTGACATGATTCTCGTTTGTCAGATTTAGGAGTTCGACAGCCTAGGTTGGAAGGTGAAGAGTACCTATCGATTGTTGATGAATTCATGGAAGCTGTACACGCTCGATGGCCTAAGGCTATTGTTCAGGTTTGCTTTTCTTTTACAACGTTTTTCTCTCTGTTCAGTTTATAATTTACTTATCTAGTAACCGGATAATTAGCTTATTTTTTCAGTTTGAGGATTTCCAAATGAAGTGGGCTTTTGAAACCCTTAAACGATATAGACAAAGGTTTTGCATGTTTAATGATGATATACAGGTAAGAAAGTGATATTATATTTTGTTACATTTAAAATGTTCAAGGTGCTAAGTAATGCGTTATTTTCTTGAAGTGACTTCTAAAACGTGCATTTTTTCTTCATTTCCATTGTTTAATAGGGCACCGCCGGTGTTGCACTTGCTGGGCTATTGGGAACTATAAGATCCCAAGGTCGACCATTGTCTGATTTTTTGAAACAAAAGATAGTTGTTGTTGGAGCAGGGAGGTACTTGCAAAACTAATTTTGATGTATCTTTGTTGGGTATCCAGTTTGTTTCGTTGTTCTATCATGCTCGTTATATTATTATTTTCTAGCTTAAATCTTGCTGCCAAAATTCTGTTATACGTGACACTTTCTTGCCTGATGGGCAGTGCAGGGCTTGGTGTTCTTAAGATGGCTGCCCAGGCTGTTTCAAGAATGTCAGGGGGCAGTGGAACTGCGGCCACTGCTAACAGCCCGTTTTTTTTAATTGATAAAAATGTATGCTTTCATGCTCTTTGCTTTCAGTGTGCTTTAAGTTGCAACTTAAATAAAAATTGTATTCGTAATAATATATTATCTGGATCCCTCGTGATTTTGACTCAACTTTTTGTTATCCAAATATCTTCATTTTTTATTTTCATATTCTGTCTTAAATTCTCTTCATTTATATGACTAACATCGTCATACATATTTTCTTTTTGACATCCTCTTTTGGATTCTTTTATTTCTGTGCATGCTTATTTTTTCTATTTTTATTATGATAATCTTTAATAATGATGTGATTGTTGAATGTAGGGTCTTGTCACCACGGAAAGGAGCAATCTAGATCCAGCTGCTGTTCCATTTGCCAAAAATCCAAGAGATCTTGAAGGGCTTACAGAGGGTGCTAGTATAATTGAAGTGGTAAATGCTACGGAATTTGTTTGAGAAAAACTTCATTCACTTCGATATGTTATTTATTTTACATTTATATCATAATGAACAATTATTTTTGTGTAAGAGTAAATTAAATAATACTTATGAAGAATAAAAAAATGCATTCTAATTGATATCCATATTTCATTTGTTGAACCTAATGGTCCTTAGGTTAAGAAGGTTAAGCCACACGTGCTACTTGGATTGTCTGGAGTTGGTGGTGTTTTTGACACGGAGGTAATTACCTTATGTTTATTCCTCAGTAAAGTATATTTGATTAAGTGAAATACACATGCTTTGAAAAGATTTCTTGTTTTAATATCTTTGGGTTCTGCTTCCTTCATTTTATTGTAATTGGTTTTCTTCAATTTAATGGTTGAGATTCAACTCAGGTGCTCAAGGCAATGAGAGAATCTGCTTCAACAAAACCTGCTATCTTTGCAATGTCTAATCCCACCGTGAATGGTTTGTTTGTACAAGGCTTATTCAGTACGGACAATTGCTTAATTATGTCCATGTTTTTCATTTTGACACTTGTTTCGTTGTCACTGGGACAGCTGAGTGCACTGCTATTGAAGCTTTCAGTCACGCTGGAAAAAATATCGTTTTTGCAAGTGGAAGCCCTTTTGACGATGTAGATCTCGGTAATTATCATTCTGTAATATGATTAATTGGTTTTGGAAGTATGCTTGTCAAGTTCGAAGCCGCGGAGGCTTTTTGTCGTAGGAAGAATCTTGTTTCTTTACATTTTTGACGTTCATTTCAATATTATGTTTTACCATAGCCTCCAAATGAATTTTTGTACAGGAAATGAAGTTGGCCATGTCAATCAAGCCAACAATATGTACCTATTCCCAGGGTAAGCGTGCCTTTGTGGCTCTATATTTATTTTTTTCACAAATCATGCACTCAGTGGAAACATTGGCGTAATTATACTGCAACATTTCATTCAGGATTGGTTTGGGTACACTTCTATCCGGTGCTCGTCATATAACAGACGAAATGTTGCGAGCAGCAGCTGAATGGTATATTTAATTTGTACAGTTCTTTTGTTCCAACAAAAGCTATTAGACTCGATTTCAATGGAAGTTTAGTGAATTATTTTCTTGATGTTTGTAGGGCTGCTCCCGTGTTAGGCATAACAATTGAGCAGTCTGACCTTGTATTCTGTGTTGTCTAAATCATTTTATCTGTTCTGTGCCTACTTTAAAAAGCTTA